TCCTCTTGCTGCTGCAAGCCCTTATGCATTGTGTTGTCCTATTTCAGTGCTCCCAGCTGCCAGCCTGATAAGGAAGCAACAAACACCACTCCTCTCCTCCTGGCTTTGTTTAACCACGGGCACTGTCCTTCTGCCCAAACGCGGTGGGTAGGTACTGGTTTTGTTATTTGGTTCAGACTCTCTCTTCCAGTGTGGCCAATAATGAAAGCTGTAACAAGTAGGTAGGGAAGGAACCTTTTTCCACTGCAGGGTTGTCCATAGAGGCTTTGAAAGCCTGAAAATAATGTTGCTGTTTTCTACATTTGTTCTGCAATTGTACCAAACAAAGAGGCTGAGAGGAGTGGTGGATAAATCTACTGTAAAGATGATCTGATGCCTTAATTCAGAATGCACTGAAACCTTTCTAAGAGAATACAGATGAGAAGGCGGCCCCTGGCAGTCCACCCTTCTCAGAGGAATGTAGCCCCTCCACTGCAATTCACCTGGCTGATTCTGTGGGGCTAGGACACGGAGGAATTTTGTTATTCCTGCCACCACAAGCAATCAGTTTGTGCCTCCAAGCATAAAATTCAAGCATGCTTGCATCTTTGCTTTGCTTGAATAATGTGTAAATGTTACCACTCAAAGTTTTCCAGTGCTTTTCCAGTTCTTGTTGTTCTTCGTATGGCCTCTGTAGCACATCACTTTCCAAGGTTGGCATTTTATGGCATTAGTAAGAATTTAATCTTCCATGGGGTATCTTTCTGGCTTGGTTCATGCCTAAAACAGACAGAGTTTGTGGAATCATAACGTTCGTGAGCAGGCATCTCCAAAGGTCAGCTTCTCTCCATAGGTATAAACTGCTATAGCAAGGGGCATTTAACCGTATTGGGGTAAATTTAATCCGGAGTATTATAAAACTCAAACCTTTGGTGAAGGCCAAGAGATAAATTTGGAGAGCTGCATTTTGGAGTGGGGGGGAGGTTCTTTCTCCTCTCAGGGCTAAACATAGTTCTCGCAAATGGCCTCAGACTGAAATTCTTGAGGGAGTCATAATAAGCAAGCCAGGGCAAAGAGGAATGTTTTTTTTCTCCCTGATTAATTCTTCCACATAAAAAGGTGAAAGGTCAAAGATGAACTTAAATACTAATGAAATTCTGAACTTCAGAGCAGCAATATGTCAGAACATTAAAAAAAAAAAAAAGTAAAAATAAAAAATGTTTTGTTACTGGCAACAGTAGGTTGGTTTTGTAAGCATAAATATATGTATATATATATCAGTTCTGATGCCTTTTAACCTTTTGGAGAAGGGGAACTTTTAGATGTTAAGCACAGGCATTAAGCAATCCACAGTAGAGGGTTTGGAGAGCTCAGCCCATACTTTTCCCCTTATGTGCCTTTCTCCATCTTTCCAGCTGACTGAAGGAGTGAAATGGGGCTGTCTTTCAAGTTACCACAAGGTCTCTTTGCCCTTCTTTTCTTGACTGAGACAGTCACTCTCAAGGTTAATTTCCTTCTTCCTTTTGTCTAGGAATATTTCATGCAGATTAGCAGTCTTCCCATATGCATACTAGGGAAAGAATTCTATTGATTCACACTGCTCCGTAGAGAAGCCATTGGACAAACTAATGTGTATACATGCATTTAGATGTTCCAGAAAAAAATAAATAAAAAAGATTGATCACAGTAAAGTTCATTTAAATGTAATTGCCAGAGGTGAAATAAATTTAATGAAGGCTTTGTTATCTGTTTGGGCTTTGTAGTACCGCCCTTCTTGGTCTGGTAATGACAAACAAGATGGTTGAGCTGTCCTTTTCATGTTACAGATTATCTGTGCTGCTGATGACATATGGTTTTTACATCATTGTGGCATTGTAAATAGGTATCTAACCTGTAAAATACAAAGTATAACTTCTAAGCTCAGCAGGGCTGGAGTGGCCAAAGGTGTATCACCCAACAAGAATCTGTAGGAAAGCCCAGAGGATGACCAGAGCTCCAGAAAACATGACCTATAAAGAAAGGTTGCGTAAACTGAGCCTGTTTAGTATTCAGAAGTGAAGACTGTGGGAGCATAGTTGTGGGAGACAGAAGGTACACATGATTTGCTACAGAAAGACAGCCAGCAGTCTGCTTTCCATGTCTGTGATAAACAGAGAGAGCGCTAATGGGCTTTAACTGCAGGAAGAAAAATGAAATAGAAAAACCTGACAAGCAATACGAGTACAAAGCATTTGGATATAATTTTGTCAGGATATCGTGGCTTCTCTATCACTAAGACTTTACAAACAGGTTGAACAGCAAGAGTTGGATTCACCTCACCTGTGTCTGAATCCCACGGAGAGAAACTGGCATTTCCAGCGTGTGATTCATTCGACCCACTTCCATTATGCCCTGGAAGAAGACGGTGCATGGTGTGGAAGCGCCTGTTTCTCTTCAGGGGCTATGAGAGACTCTAGAAAACTGATTCAGGTCTGGAGGTCTGTTTTGTAGATCTCTGAATTTCTATTCCAACTGCACCATCTCTCGTGTCAGTAATAGCACAAACACAGTTGATTGTGTACTGGTGAAAATGGCCAGGCTAGGTGGTGACCTCCTGAGGTTGTTTCTAGGCTATGAAGGAAACGAACAACTGTCATTGCAGAAGGTCTGCCAAACTAAATCTAAACACATGAGTTGCTTGTTGAAAAAATACAAGTAAAAATGCATATATATATATGTATATATTGTTTGTTGGATTATTGTTTGATGGCTGCTTGGATGAATAATTTGGAATTAGATCTTGAATAGTTTAATTGTTAATAAGCAAGTAAATCATCACCAGTCAATGAGCAAATCAGCATTCTTAGTCAAAGAGGCCAAGAGTAGTAGGAGCATAGAGGCTGATTATCCTTTAACTTTCTGATTATGGCCTTTCCAAAATAGCTTTTGTGAAACAGAATACAGGACAAATAGTTGCTGAGCATAAAGTTTGGTCCTGTGTATAAATAGAGGATTCCACATCCTGAACTCATTTTGTAAGTGCTATTTTTACTAGAAAAAAAAATATATACTAAAAACGTTGTCATCTTGATTATCTGCAGCAGAAAATGGCAGCAAGAATTTTGAATGGTATTCCCAGAAGATTCCCATTCAGCTCCTGAATCCAGAGAAGTCCAAATTCACTGAATGGCCTGATATAGTACAAATTCCTTTCATGCTGTTGATGAGCTGCAGAATCAACTCAAAACATTCAGCCTGTATCGTAACGAGTGCACTTAAGAAGCTGGCAAGGCTTCAGTCAGCTGCAAGGCAAATGCAATTATAGAACCCAGTTTTCCTTTAAAGGTTTTGAACTCAAAATCAGCTGGAATGAAATGGGTTGCTGTGACTTTCCCTCACCTTTTTCAGGACACTATCCCATTTTTCAAGGGATGAGAATTATAAAAACCTCATCTGTGAAATTTCTCATCCTGCTAGTTTAATTTGCCTTTTACAGCCACTAGAAATGTGCAGTGCCCCTTATCACTATGCTACCTCAGTATGTTCAACCTGTAGCAGTCTGGAAATGGCAACAGCAAAGTCACCAGTGAATTTCAGTAATTCTTTGTTTCATCTGAAACACGCATGCCACAATGCTGGCTGGGGATGGGGAAGTTCAGGAGTTGATGAGGTCAGACTGTGGTTTCACTTGACTTTTCTGGAGTCTTGTGCATATTTACATCTTCTGGGAAAGAAAAAAGAAAAAAAAAAAATCATGATTCTCATGCACTTCATCCTGGGACTTGTACCTATGTTTGGGTGGCTGCTTTCTCTGTGGATGTCTGTTTTTAGGTGTGCACATGCTTTACCACTAATAGCAAATCCAACAGGTGTTACTGAGGGCAACCTTTGCCCCTCCCTGCTTTGTTTCCTTTTTATTTTCCCTCTTCTGGCTTCCTCGCATATTCAGAGGACTTCTGTCTGTGTTGCACACTTAGCAGACAGTTACTGATGGCACAAACTGGGTACACTGCTCCTTGCTGGATGGGCCAGTTATGTGTTGCTGCCCGGGATAAGCAGAGTCTGTGATCAAAAGTGTCTGTCCTCAATCTGTGGCTGCATGGCCATGCTGCAAGTGAAAACTAAAGCTGAGCATAAGCAATTTCCATAGCTCACGCGGCATTCTTCGAGTACAGGAACACATTTCCCAGCCCCAGGATCTGGACCTCAGGTTACCTTCTCCTCTCCGTTCCGTCACAGTGTCAGTCCCACCAGCTCTGGGAAGCGCGAAGTGTCACCTTTCAGGAGTTGTGCTGCTGGGGCTCAGCCCCATCCAGAGCTAATTATAAACCTTTCCCTTCTGTCTCCTGCCCCTCAAACCTACAGCTTCCTAACATTTTGAAGGCACAGAAACTGCTCAAAGATCTTTAGATGGGGGCAGGGGGAGCGAGGGGGGCTGTCCATATGGCAGGAAGCCGATGCCATGATCAGAGAGAAGCAACTGCCCCCGGGAGCAAGCGCGTTATTGTAATGCTTCTGTAAAATGACTTCCTCGAGGCAGCTAAGACTATAAGAGCTGACTAGAAGCAAACGGTTAATGTCACACAACATTTCCTTCTTGCATAATATGTAGATTAAAACTTGAACTTAATTCTTTTTCTTTGAAGCCACGAATTCCTTCTCTCTAACTCCTATTTATTTAGTTGAACAATAGTTGTTTTAGTAGGAAATTAAGGATGGACTCCGTCCTTCTGAGTGTACTAGGGGTAGCCTTACACACAGGGGACAATTGTGTTTCATTTTGAATCTTTTTGAATCTTTTTTTTCCTGATCATTTGAGGAAATTCCCATGGGTGTTGTTATACCAGAGGAAATTATTTATGTGCCTCAAGAAGAAAACATGTAAAATTAAGTACATTTTTAATCCTACTTTTACACAATTTGAAAGAGACCTTCCCCTCCTGGGGGCATTACTTTTGCTTTATTGAAGCTTTGCTACCTAAAATAATACAAAATTGAAATGTTTGATATACGTAGCTGAATACGATTCCAAAGGCAAAGAACCTTCTTCTCATGAACTCTGCACATTTTTGCCCCTGAATACTTTTACTGAAGTTTTACTGAAACTAAAGGAACAACACTGCACATACTGGTATGAAAACAGCTGCACAGGATTACATCAAAGGCTCATCTAGCTCATCCTGTATCCTGTCCCCACAAGTGGCTGGTAGCTGAGCGAGGAGTGGAAGAGCATTTATAAGAAAGTCTTACCCTGTGACTCACGCCAGCCATAAGTAGTTAACAATTCAGGGATTTCCTTCACCAAAAGCTGCGTCTGGGGCACCGTGTTGATAGCTGCCAATGGAGCTAACCTTCAGGAATGTATCTAATTCCATTTTGAACACACTTATACTTTTGGCCTCCACAACATCCTGTGGCAAATAGCTCCACAGTTTAATGATGTGCTGTGAGAAGAAGAATTTCCTTTTGGTTTAAATCTGCTGCTTATCTCTTCATTGGTGCTTGACCATTCCTGTGTTTTAAGAAACAATAAACAATTTCTTCTTATTCCTTTGTCACACCATTTTTTCTTCATAAAGCTTTCTTGTACCTCATCTCAGTTACTTTTGTAAGTTACCCTATTTAGTCCTTCCTTATACGAACAGCCATTCCATGTTAAATCCTTTTTTGAGACGTGGTGAAGACAGTCACGTGCCGTGTATCACAATCTCAAGAATGCTTCCTTCACCCTTTCACTAAACATTCGGCTTGTGCTGTGACTGTTGCAGAGGACTGATCAGAAGTTTTCAGAGATAAGCCTACTGATGAATCTTAGATCTGTTACTTCAGTGTTAACAGCTACTATGCCCATCTTTGAATAAGTAATTACGATTCTTTTCCCCCATGTAAATTTATTGACAACTGCTTTCATACAACAACTGATTATCAATTACTGGGCCTTGCTTGATCCCTCTGGAGCCTTCTGTGATCAGACTTGAACATTCCAGACAGGCAAGTATGACCTGCAATTTTGTTCTCTATGACACAACTGATTTTTCAGCACTACAATAAATAAATAAATAAAAGTAAGAGAGTGAGAGAGAGTTGTATTCTATCCTAAATGTAGTGACTTCATTTGTAACAATTATTACTTCTAACCTGCAAGCAGGCTGGTCCCGGTTCTTCAGCAGAGGTAGAGCTGCTGTCCAGAAGAAAAGAGCAATGGCCCATTATAGGTTTCATAACTTCTTAATATTTATCATTTTACTTCTGATGTGCTCTGGAAGTAACTATGTAAAATGCTGTGGCCCTTTCCGATTTGTGACTTCTGGCAGAGTTGCAACTTAAAGCTTCTTGTCTTCCTCGTGGTCTTTGCAAGTCAAGGCAGCATGCAGACAACAAGAGGAGAGGTAGAGCTGCTGTCTCTGGCAGCTCTCCTTAGCATCCCGTGCTCTATAGAGAATGCTTGTACTCGGACAGCGTGGCTTTCTTTGGCCAAGTCTTGCCCTTCACAGCCAGCCCCATGGAACTGTTGGGGATTGCTGCTGGTCTCACTGGTGGGTAAATCTGTTCTGGCTGAGTATGGTAGCAGCTGGTGGGGCTGACTGGGAACTGCTTCAGGGTGGGTTGACGCCTCCCTGGAAACAGCCAAGGCCTTACAGGATGCTCACTGTTTGGTAATCATTTGAAATGTTGTAGGGGGTGTAACAAGGTGAACCAGGCTCACACCCTTGGGGTTCTTTGTTTGCTTGACCTGATTTGTTACCTGAGAGGCATTAGTAGTACTGAAGAAAAAACTATTAACATATTCCTAAAAACAAACTCCATTTTTCCTTAAACAATGGTTAGTGTCTTGTTGAAGCAAAAGAACTAGCCACCTTGCCTTTATCATTCAGTTTTTAAAAGCAGTAATTAAGACCATGATAACAGGCTAATTAGGTTTTAGGTTTTACTCCTCATATATCTTTTGTTTCTCTGTCTGTATCTGAGCACTGACAGAAATTGAGCTTATGCTGGTGTCTTATCTTTGTAGCAATGAATTAATGGTTAAAAAAAAAAATCAAAGCTGCATATATACCATATGATGTCTTTAAACTGGTTTTAAAACTAAAGAAGGGTAAGAGCTGTCCTAAAGATAATCAGTTCGTGAAACCTAAAACGTTACTTATTATTCTCATTTTTCTTTCAAACATAATAAATCATTTCCACATGGGAATGCAAAAAGGTAACAGAACAGAAGCAAAGTGCACCTCAGTAACAGGTTAAATGAGTTCCTCAGAGCTGCTAACAATCATTCTCATTCTCAGCTGTGGGTTATTCATACTAAAACACGGAATCTCTGTCTGTTATATAATCTCTGTCTTTTTCTGCAATAGACCCTCAGTTGATTGTGACTTTACAGGCTATTTTCCCACTTTGTATAAGCAGTGGGATTGTTTTTTTTTGTTTGTTTGCTTTTGTTTTGTGTTGTTGTTGTTTTTTCTTCATTTGCTTTTTCTAATTATTTATATCACTTTGCCACCAGAGAGGAAGAAAACATTATTAGTATTATCAGGATAACAGAAGCTGAGTGGTTAAGAATTTAATCTTCTCCAGACACGTATTCTGTGATTTTATACACAGCTAAGCAATGTCAGATGGACTGCTGGTGTCACCCAGTGGACAGAGCAGTTCATCACAGGTGGGTGTCTTGTAGAGAATTTTTTCTTGGTGCAGGAATAGCTCGTTCCTAACCAACAGGAATAACTTTAATTTTAAAGTAGCTGAAATGAAAGCATATTTGAAAGATCTTCTAATGCCGTGGTCACTGCTACAAAGGTATAAAGCAAACGCAGGAAGCAGTACTTGCTCCTTACCATTATGAAGAAGGCAGACAAAGAATAATCAAACATTAATGAGTGGGAACTCTCTCCTACCGGGAAAAAGTGATTAAAATAACCCGGCAAAACGGCACTTGTACTGTTGTTTATGAAAAGATGTGAAGATTATGAAAATCCAATTATAACGCAATTCTGTGAGATGCAAAACAAGATAGCCTAATAACAGCTTGCAACAGAGGTGAACAAGACCTGGAGAATCCTTTTCTCACAGTGTTACAACAATAATGTATTTCAAGACAAGCAATCTATGTTTTAAATGCAAAACTTTAATGGAACAAACCACCTATGAAAAATGAATTAAACACTTGCAAGGAATTTTAATGCTTTCGGAGCACATATGAAAAATATACAAGTATGTAAAACTAACTTTAGTCCATGCTTTGTCTTAGACATTTTCCTGATTTTCACAAGGTACTTCTGAGAGTGATGGAAAATCGAAGCTTGTTGTTGTTGTTGTTTTAAATACTGAAACGAACCATTGTGTGATGTGCTTGAAGGCTTTTTGCCACAGATAAAGCAGAAATGGGGTTAAGTGCATAGATGGCTACATCTAATTACTGGAGTCAACGGGAAGAAATAATGCTCGTTTTCTAATGCTGTGGCAAGTAGCATGTGCTTCCTGCCCTCTGCAAGCAGAAGGAGAATGACCTGATGCATCGTAAATCCTGAACTAACACACAGAGAAGGGTGAGGGCTGCTGGGGTGACAGCCTGTACTTCTGCAGAAGGCAGACTAGCAATCTGCTCTCCTGCTGGCACAAATATTCACGACATGTGGCAATCCCAGAGTCACTCATTTGTAACCAGATCACAGTAATAGCATTAGAAGTTAAATAATTGACTGCAATATTTTTAACATACCGAAAACATGCCAGGAGCTACATTATGTCTCTGTTCCAACAGGGAACCTCTATGATCTGTAAATGCATCTGCAGAGGCGATGTCGTATTTGAGGAGGCGAAAGGAATCCAGACAACCCTAAAGCAAGAAGGGAAGCACAATTATATAGTTAAGTAGGTGGTCAATTTTGCATGACCAGTGCATTCCTTCCAAACAAGTCCTTAAGAACTCAGTTGAATTACCTTTCTCTGTCAGACCAAGTAGCTGTGGTTCTTCACACTATGTATTTGGTGACAGGAGCTTCTAAATTTCTCAATTTCTATTTGTGAGTCTGTTTTTTCAAAAGAAACTGCTCCTCTGATTTGTAAAATCAGATCCATAGTTAAGATAACAGGGGTAGTAGCTAGTTGCTGTGCACCTTCTGTATGACTTTGTCATAATCCTCTGGAACCCTCACTTTCACAAGTGTTGTGCCCCTGCCATTAGTGAGCAGGGGCCACCTGCAGGTTACCACACCGGTGAGACAAGGAGACAATACACAAGTGTTTTTTTTTTTTCCACGTGTTCTTTTTCCACCCATTTCCCAAATGGGTTTTGAGGCCAGGCTTTCAGGAAGAAAGAACAATATGAAAATTTAGATGAAAACATCCTTACTTTCTTCCTTTTTCTCTTTACATAAAATATAAATATTTAATTCAGATTTAGATTTTCTGCTTCTTGAATTAAAAATCCCTGCTAGTGCTGAAATTCATAGCTTTTTCCCAAAGACTTCATGAAAGCCACAATATGACCTCTTGTATGCCAACTTTTCAAATACAAATCAGAAATGATAGCATGCTGTGTAAATAGTTTCTGAAGGAATCGATAAATAAGACACAGTGAAAAAAGTCATTTTGATGCCTTAATTGGAATTGAGGCTGCATCTACAACTCAAATCTTCTTAATATTTTAATTTCAGTGCAGGTCAACTAATGTCTAGTGACGAGGGGAAGATTTTGAATACAACAGTCACTGATGTTTACTGTTGTGGCCACAAAGTTGAGATGATGAGATGGTAAAAATGCCTATTGAGTCTATACTATCACTTCCTCTGTTACCTTTACTGGGAAATTTTAAAGGTAACTATAAATATCCTGAGGACTAAAACAAACAAACAAACAAAAAACATTCTCTACTATAAAAGAATTTATTGTATTACCTATAGTTTACTTCTTTGCCCTTCCCAACTTTATCTTAGTCCTATTTCCAGTCCTCCTAAATACAGATTTACACAAAGATATTTTTGCTGTATATTTCCTTAGTGTGTGAATGTGAAGACAGAGTCTTGCATTAAATCATCTCTCATTAAGTTTATACAGCAATCAAAATGAGCTGGTTTATAATTTTTAATCAGCATGTTTCTGTGTGGAATTTTTTCATTCATTTTTGTTAGAGACTGCTGATTCCTGGTAGCCCAAATGTTTCAATAACACAACAACAACAACAAAAGCTTTGTTACACTGCTACCAAATCCCAGGTTTTTGGTCAATCAGTGCAATAGATTGTTGTGGTAAGTAATCCTTGGGGCCTGCAATGCCCCAGTAGCCCTAACACACACACTGCCTCAGGGTTCCCTGGTAGCCCCTCAAGACTCAGTTCTAGGCTTTATTAATTAAGGTTTGAGGTCCCTGCTCTACATCATGGGATTGTTCAGGGCTACTCCTTCAGCTCTCCTACAAAAACAAATGATGTGAGGAATTCCTTTAAGACAGGGATAGTGATTTTCTCCGTCCTCAAAGACATGGATCCAAATAATATTCCATTTTCAGAAACTATTTGTTTTAAAATGTCCTTTTTGTAGGAAAATCTAGGTTTTTTTTTTGACTTTTTATCATTTTTGAAGTTTTTGTTTCATTTTTTTATTATTAATTTTCCTGTAGAATACATATTTGGAGTTGGTGCCAGTTTGATGTTTCTGTTGAGACCACTTTTCATATATTTTAGTAATCAGATAAATAGAAAATTATTCCCAAAAGAATCTTTAAAGTTTTCAACCATGTGTTGGAAAAAACTATCACTGTCTGATAAAACCCACCTGGGCACAAGGCATACTTCTGTGACCACTGTAACCTGCTCCTTAAAGGACACTGGGCTTGCTAATGAGGTGATGGTACTCCAGGTCTGACACGTAGGGAATCTGATGACTACGACACCTGCGTGTCTCCCCTTCCACCACAGTTCTTTGAAGCACAAGCAGGACAAGCAGCCTGCGGTGTGCCCCACAGCTTGTTCCTGTCACAAGAAAGAGAAAATTAGGGGAAACTGTTAGCAAGTTAGATTGTCAAATACATCAAGCACAGACTGAAGAATCATTTTAAATCACCTCAATAAATGACAGGCCTAGGCCCAGGCACCCTCTGTTATCTGAGGTGTGCAGTCATCTAAATGTTTCAGGTATTTAAGGGCTGATGCAACTGTGGGCTCTACGGAGCTGCTGGCTTCTGCAAAAGCACAGCCTCTGAAACCGTGCAGCCAGGAGGAAGAGGGGTGTGCTTCGACCAGATGGGCTGGACAGACAGGCTGTGGTAGCAGCCAAGAGCAGATTTCAAAGGATGATCCCTAACTATCTGAAGGTATCCTAGGCACCTCCAACAGCTGATTGTAGTGTACTCATTTCATATTCAGGTATATGTGCTATGTGTGCTGCCTTTATTTGCCTTTCACAGGTGTGATGAAGGCTAATTTGTTTGAGAAGTCCTTCAACATCTGGGGGAGTTGGGTTCTGTAGGTCATTGGTCCTGCAGACCAAAGCACGCAGCAGAAGGGCCAAGATCCAGAGACCTTCACACTTCTGGTGGAGATATAATTTCTTCAATAAAAACCTGACACACTGCTCTGAATGATGCTATCTCTGAACACAACTTCACAGTGAGAACTAACCCTGGGCTTGGACCGGGAAGGGAAGGGAAGGGAAGGGAAGGGAAGGGAAGGGAAGGGA